GCTGCGGGCTTCCCCCGGTGCTGCGGGCCGGGGTGGCGTCCGCGCCCGCTCCGCCCGCCGTCCCCGGGGTCTCGCTCCCGATGGGAGCCCGGCCGGGGCCGAGGCTGGGCTTTCCTTGGAGCATTGGAGAACCGGTTGCTCTGACTTTGTCTCCCAGGACACGCGTGGATCCACCCCTCGGGTCTCTTGTCTTTATCCTTCTTGTCCCCTTTCAAACTCCCTGTTCTGGGAAAGGGGTTCAGCCTTATTTTTTAATTTCCAGTCACACTTCTAATTCTTTACTGAGGTTTGAAGTCAGAGTTTTGTGCTTGCTAGAAAGTTGCTCTACTACTTGAGCCACTACACCAGACCTTTTGCTTTAGTTATTTCTTAGATGGGGTGCTGTGGAACCCCCCATTCCCGTCTCCCCTCTCCCCTCTCCCCCGTCTTCCCCCCATCTTCCCTCGCCCCAATCTCTCCCCTTCCCCGGCCCGGCCCCTCTTCTTGTCTGCCATCTCCTACCTGACTGCCCATTCTCCCACCTATATGCTTCTGAGTATTTGGGATTACAGGCTTTTACTGTCAGCCCTGGCCACGAAGCTCCCAGTTTCTGCCTTTGTCATAGTGTTTCGGGAATGCCTTATCACCTCCAGGCTGAGGAAGTAAGGGTTCTTTTCAATCCTCTTCTGATTTCTTCTTTAGTAAACGTTGGCTTCTTGCTTTGCCTGTTAGGACTGCCTCCAGTACCGGTAATTATTATCCTTAGAGCAAGTGAAAGCTGGTAGCTTGGGAATCTGGACTGGTCTTGGAAATGGCTTTCCCTCTGATGATTGGGAGTGTGTTCTTTGCACCTGGAGCAGCAGAGAGAGACGTTCTCTGGGCTGTTCCTCTTTAAGGAGCCCTTTTGGTCTGGGAGCTGTTCTGCTTTGTTGGGCTAAGGAGATTGGTCTGCTGCGGAGGGTCCTAGTCTGCAGAGGGTTAGGGTTCTCAGACTCAGCGTTCTACGTTGTGTGCTCTACCCAGGCTGCTTTTCCTTTGCCTGGATTGGAGCCTTTCCGTCATCTATTAGTGAAGACTCTTGTCTGTGTCTGTGTACTCTTTATTGTGGGTTTACCACACTCCATGAGAATTCATTTTAGTGGGACAAGTGGGCATCACTTTATGGCCACTCACTTTGAGCAGGAATTCCAGAGCTGTTCTCTTCATGCCACCAGTCTTTCTCCCTGTGGTCCTGTGTCTGCTGAGGGACAGGCTGGGTGCCAGGTCACCAGGCCGTGTCCACCTTGAGCTGGCTGGTTGCTTCTGCTCTGCAGCCGTGGCAGGGCACTAGGCCACATGTTGCAGCAGACACTTGGTTTCAGACTTCAGGTGGCTTCTTGCTGTATGCGCTACACTACCAGTCCACTACCACACCACTGTATGCCTGCAGACAGAGATGGTGTTCTCAAGCAGTCACTTGCAAGTTGTGCTCAGTGAGCATGCTAGAGGCGTGCTAGCTGAGTCCTCTCCAGCAGTCTCCTGCCCTGACCCTTGCTGTCAAGTCTGCTCGGTTTATAACAATCACCCTGCCACTTAGTAAATTTAGTTCACAAGTAAATTTGGTCTTTCCAGAAAAGTTGCAGAAATACTTAATGAGTTTCCCTATTTCCTTCCCTGGCCTCTCTAGTGTAATAAAATCTTCACCTAATAACAGCACAGCCCTGCCGACTAAATTATAGATCTTATTCAAATCAGTATTTCACTCCTTTTTGGGGGTGGGGGCGGGGGTACTGGTCCTGGGGCTTGAATTCAGGTCCTGGGTGTTTTTCCCAAGCATTTTTGGTTCAAAGCTAGCATTCTACCATTTGAGCCATAGCTCCACTTTGGCTATATGCTAGTTAATTGGAGAGAAAAGTCTCACGGACTTTTCTGCTTGGCCTGCTTCAAACCTTGATCCTCAGAGCTCAGCCTCCTGAGTAGGATTTTAGGTGTGAGCCACTAGTGCCTGGCACTAAAGTCCTTTATATGTTTGAGAATCTCACATTGCATTTAAGTCATATCCTCTAATCTCTGATATTTACATAATTCCAAAATATCTTCCCCAGAATATTTATGAATTCCAAAAAATCATAGCTCTCAGTGGGAAAACCCATTGGGAGCTCTCTGTAGGCTAACATGAGCAGAAATGGTATCAGAGCCACATCAGGTCTTCTGGTGCTGCAGCAATGCTGTTTAATCACAGCTGAGGGAGGTCCACTCTGGTGCAGGTGTTGCCTGAACATGTCTGCAGGCCAGGTGACAGGCATGGATGTAGCGACTTTTAACGCTGCAGAAATGATGAAGATGGCTCAGTGGTAGAGCACTTGCCTTGCCTGCCTGAGGCCCTGGGTTCGATTCCTCAGCACCACATAAGCAAAAAGAAAAAAGCCGGAAGTGGCGCTGTGGCTCAAGTGGTAG